TTTCAAATATTTCGTTTTAATTAAATTTTAACTAGGTGTAATATGTATTTATGTTAGCTTTTTATCATCTGTCAGCCGCCCTGAGTCCGAAAGGAGAAGGGCGGGATATAAATGCAATTAATAATAATAATAATAATAATAATAATAATAATAATAATAATAATAATAATAATAATAATAATAATAATAATAATAATAAGTGCAAACCCATTCTCCTAAATGGGTGTTTTTTTGCCAGAAACTGACAAAAAGTGTGAGAAATTGACAAGAAATATTGCAAACCAAGGTCAGGTAACTGTAGGAAGCTACAACCAGTTGTAAATGTGACCTGGCTATCACATGACCGAAATATAGTCATGTGATCATAGGGACGGGAGAGGCACAACATTTTACAATGGTCAAATTGTAAAATTTTCACAAGGCTGTTGAAAATCCAAATGGTCATTAAAGGGTTGATCAGAAATTGAGGACTACCATTATGGGACATTTTGTTAACTGTATGCAAAAGACCTGTCAGGGTGTACATTTATATACAGCCAATATGTATATTGTAAAGATTTATTCTAGGAATATGGTAACTACATTTAATCATTCATATCATTCCTGCTGAAAGAGACCTTAATTCATTTATATGCAATCAAACTATTCAAAAATCTCATTTGATGTTGCCAAATTATTTAGAATATGTAATAGGTGGGTTTTTTCTCAAACTTCCTGAAAATGCAAGAAATGGAACCTGGTCCCTTCCATAACAGAATAACAGAGTTGGGAGTTCCGGTTCCTGCGACCAGTGAAATCAACCAAGAGATTCGGGATGCTGAGCTCTTCAGCTGAGTTTCTTCCTGTTTGGGGACCCTAAATGGGCCAGAAGCCGCCCCAGAGAGGTGGCAATGAAGGAAGGTAGTAGTCCCAGGGACCTAGGAGAGATGGTGGTCTCCCCGATCGGTCCAGGAGAAGCCTCCCAGAAACCAACAGGAGAAAGGCTAGCTAACTTCATTGTCTAGCCCCAGCTGCAAGCAACGGAAGTCCAAAGCTCTACTTAAGCTGATTGTGAACAGTGCATTTGAAGCTGGGTAAGAACTGATTTTCTCTATCCTACCTATTTTCCTGAAAAAGAGAACTCCCAAGAAGCAAAAATACCTCCGAAAGTGAAAAAGGGAGGGGTTTTCTCCCCACCCTTTTGGCTATTGGAAGCAGCGAATCTAACTTTTTAAGGAGGAAAAAGACTAGAAAGAATTGAAAAATGATCCAACGCTGACACCTACTGGTGGATGAGGACTATAAAATCTCTGCCTGTGGCCTTCAAAGTCTTAATAAACACAGCTGTTTAGATAAAATGAGAATTACAGAAATAATGTATGCTTTACAAGAGGAAATATATAATAAGCTGCAATCAATTCAAAGGACAATGATCTTAAACCACAAAGAAATACAAAACAAACTTGAAAGTATAAATCAACTTATCCCCAATTTAATTTTACTCCAAAAATACCCCCAGGAGAATACAGCAGAGATGATTGAATATAAATCCAAGGATAAAGACTTAAAGATGGACTTCTATAAAATAAAAGAATATGATTTAATTCAAGTGGAAGAAAAGAAAACTTACATTTCAACATCACAAAGCAAATTTGAAGATAAGAGACTCTCTACATCAATAGCAACACCTATGATCATATGGGAAAACCTTTTGATTCAGCAAAGTACACTGATTAAGAATGACTTTGGGCAAAGAAAAAAGATTATACAATAGAATCAAGGTACAACAAAGAATACAATGATTTCTACACATGCTTCAGATCAATATTTCACAATCTCAGCCACGCATGCTGGCTGAGGAATTCTGAGAGTTGAAGTCCGTATTTCTACAATTTGCTGAAGTTGAGAAATACTGCTTTAGCCTTCACCAATACTGTGGACTCCAGAACTGCGACTCTCAGAATTCATAATCAACTGGGACTTTTAACTCCTGTACATTTGAAGGAATCCAGGCTGAATAAAAATTGACGTTATGTTGGCATATTAAATTGACTCAGTAAGTTGTCTGCATAGTCTATGCTACCTCCCTGTAGCAATTAACCCTTGAAAGAACATTTTTTAGAGAAAACATAGAAGAAAATATGTGCGTATGATATTAGTTTGTTAATGAATGTTTGCACAGACCACATCTGGGTAAGAAGAGGAAGATTTTGCTATCCTAAAGTGTACCTAGGTTTTCACCCCATCGATGCTTAATTTTAAAATGTGTTCCCTCTGTATCTGCTCATCCACTTAGCATATTTTTTTTCTTTTTAATAATACTGTCAAACTTCTTCCTGGCAAATTGACTCCAGGCAATGAGGAGTCATGTTCCCAACAGGTTGATAACCTCTATCACATAGAGTGACTGAGATTGATTATGAAGGCCATACAGGTAGTCCTTGACTTACAACCGTTTAGTGACCATTCAAAGTTATAACAGCGCTGAAAAAAGTGACTTATGACTGTTTTCAGACTTATGATTGTTGCAGCATTCCCACGATCGTGTTACTAACTTAACAACTATAGCCATTCACTTAACAATTGGGGCAAGAAATGTTGTAAAATTGGGCAAAACTCACTTAACAATTGTCTCACTTAGGAAGAGAAAAATTGAGCTCAATTTGGGTTATAAATTGAGTACTACTGTATATTCAAAAGAGCTTGACATTATTATTTTTGTGAATTAGCAAGCCAAAGGGTGACAGAAAGAAAAAAAGCAATCAGCTTTATCTTCATTAAAATAAAATAAGGGGGGGGGAATCAACTTTATTAAGCTGCTTAAACTGAAATACATTAGGAATCTCCAAAGAATTTACGGATTGCACATTCATTGATCAGAAAACATTTTCATCTATTCACTGTGCTTTTGGCTTTGTTTACTAGACTTTGTCTTCAGGCTAGGTCTCACAAAGTAGCTAATAAAACCAGTGCTGAAATAAAACTTTGGGTGGATTAAGTCCTTAAAACAATGCAAGTAAGGCAGTCAGAATCTAGGTGTGAAAGATCAGCCACAAGTTTTGTAATATTCAAAGGAAATGAGGTGAGAAGATAAGGAACCATACCACAACTTCCACTTTTTTGTGTTTCTATCTTGTGATAATGACATGCAAAATGGAAACTGTAGATGTTCACAATAGCCTTGAGTTTCACAACTGGAGTTCATACATTTTCAAGAAAGGCAGAAATGCCAACTCTCATTTCATCACTGCTAGTACTGTAATGTGAAATACCTCCCTAGTGCATTAAGATCACTCCAATCTGAAGTCAAGAATCCTAAACTGACCATTCAACTTATAAAGCGAGTTTTGACTACTCTTTTATAACAAAAATTATGTAAGTTCTCAAAAAACAAAACAAAAACACAAGTCTTTGCTTACCTGCAGGTTGCTACAGGTTTGGGAAGGACGACTCCTGCAGTGTAAACAGCCTGAAAAATCCCTTCCAAGTTTACTCTTCTGGTTATTTCACGGATTAGGACCGGTGCGACTCGCTTTGATCGTAGTTTTTTATGGACACACAGAAAATTAATTTCTACCATTTTCTTCTCACTGTTAAACAAAATATATAAGAAACTAGTTAAATTTTTGAAGGCATCTAAATATTCTTATATATTGTCCAACGAATGTTACCTACCCTACTGACCAATTCTTCCCAATTTTACAGAAAACGTATTTCTTACAGAAGCAGGGAAACTTTTGAATCAAGAAGTGTTATTTTAAAGAAAGAACTATGTCTATGTCATTGTCATTGTCGTCGTCATCATCATAATCAGTCATCAGCAAGGAGAACAGAACCTTAAGTTTTATTCCCATTTTTTTTGCAATTTTGGGGAAATTGCTGTTTGTTTTTCAAAATACAATAGCTGAATTAAATAAATTAGAGGTTTAATACTCTGTGTTATTCTCTGTTTTGAAGACAGTGGAAAGTGTCATGGCTGCTACGTCTGGGTTTGCTGTTAATTTCAGAAGTACCATCTTGGAAAATTCCTGGAGTCATAAGAAAGAGATTGGGGTCCACCTGGGACTGCATCTATCCTTGCTCTAAAACTTTCTCCAACCAGTTACTAATGGGGCTTTATGAAAAAAAATGGGCTAGAACAGGGGTCCCAACCCCTGGTCCATGGACCAGTACTGGGCCATGGCGCGCAAGCAACCGGGCCGCACAAACAAGGAAAGCCCCATCTGCGGAATGCAGGCAGCACACAAAACCACACTCTCTCCAGTCCATGGAAAAACCTCTCTCCACGGAACTGGTCCCCGGTGCCCAAAAGATTGGGGACGTCTGGGCTAGATTGTGGCTCTGTATCAGTGTTTCCCAACAGTAGCAACTTTAAAATAGGTGGACTTCAGTTACCAGGATTCCCCAGCTATTTTGAAATAGGAAAAATAAATTATTTTCATAATTCCAGCTTCTATATACGTTTTCATGAGGTACACAAAAAATAAAGTTGATTTGTTTCCAAGAATCAACTATTTCAGTGCATGAAATTTTTGTACCTTTTAAAAGAAAATTTAAAATAAAAAATGAAGATTATTCCAGTGGATTGCTGCCAATTTTCTTTCTCTGGAAGTAACATGTACTTTGTGTATAACATGTAGTGTTATGTGCTGCGAAGGGCATGTGGCTATATTTCTAAATGTTGCTGTCTTCCAGCTGTATAAACAAAAAATATTTTGAATCCATATCGGGAACCCTCATTTTTAGTATTCTCTTTCCCAAGGAGGTGCACGTACATAATACTTTGTAGAAAATAGCAAAGCAAGGCAAACTATTTTCTTTATAGGGAAGGGTTCTGAATAGTAAATTTTTAAATTGCCTATGTACATTGCATATTCCGATTTTTAATGAAATATTTCAGTTCAGTCTGCTGAATTGGGATATATTTATGTTTTGTATCAGAGATATAACATCTTGAGTAAATTTTACAGTTTGTTCTGCAACCCTCTGCAGATTCCCTGTAGGTGTTATGTACTTGGGATAAATAAATACAGTAAAACTATCTACATATCCCTTATATATGGAAGATTCTGATTTGACCTTTCCCATATTTAAGAAGTAACAGATGGATGTGGAGAAGTAAATCAAGCAAAAAAAAAGTTGCTCTGACAGTTGATTTTCTGCTTCGAGGGACTTTCAGCTGGGAACCAAATATAACTACTAATTTAGATTTTTAAAAAATTAAATACTAATATCAATTCTACTTGCTTAGGGCTTGGATATCTTATAGAAATTATGAGCACATGTTGAATTCCTGATTCTGGCAGATGCAATATTTATCTACAATTTCTGCACAGGGACCTCTGCCTCTTCCTGTTACTTTAACATCATTTGCTTCTCTGAACATATTAACCTGCTTCTTGTCCTGAAGGCAGGACAAGAAGCAATGGGTGGAAACTAACCAAAGAGAGAAGCAACTTAGAACTAAGGAGAAACTTCCTGACAGTTAGAACAATTAACCAATGGAACAACCTGCCTCCAGAAGCGGTGAATGCTCCAACACTGGAAGATTTTAAGAAGAGACTGGACAGCCATTTGTCTGAAATGGTGTAGGGTTCCTGCCTGAGCAGGGGGTTGGACTCAATGACCTCCAAGGTCCCTTCCAACTTTATTATTATTATTATTATTATTATTATTATTATTATTTTATTCTCCAAATTAATGGTCAGCAGCCAAATTTCAGAAATATGTTAAAATTAGTTAAGGGTAAGAACATGTTTTGGATTTTGTGTTGAGGCAGAAATATAAGACAAAGGGGAAGAAAGTTGGGAAGTGTGTGCTTTGGGTATACACATGTGTAAACATATGCAAGGCAGTGTAGGAGAAAACATAAGGCTGAATTTGATTAGCATTCCTCAACATGCTCCAATATATAATTAGATGATAGCTTTCTCTTTTTTAAGTGTTGCTGCAGCACTTTTATGATAATCTTGATTATAATTCCAACTCTGTAATAATGACAGCAAACTCCAATACTTCTGAGAAGTAAAAAAATTGCTGAAATAGCATTACTAATTGTAAATATTATCAACAAACATTATTAGTGGGGTAAAGAAAGCACAGAGGTGTAAGTGTGGTTGCACCACAGTGCTTAAGATACTGATAGATAACCTTGGGTGATCTCCAAGGTTAAAAGTTGATGAAGAGAAAGGAGAAAGGTAATGTGTTAAAATGGCAATAAACACTACAGTTGTCCCATGAACAGTGCTGTCACATAAAAAGTTGCTAATTGTTGGAGTAAATGGACAAGGATTTTAGTTTGAGATATTTAAAACATTTCCAATGCTTCACTTTTCCCCCTAAAGTTTCTTCCAAATCTAACCTTTTTGATAAAGGACAAGTCATGCAAGTGATTTTAAGAAAACCTAAGTGGGCCCAGCTAACTTCCCAACCAGTTAGGGCTTACCTATCATAANGAGTCCTCAACTTACAACCACCCATTTAGCAACCGTTCAGAGTTATAATGACACTGAAATAAGTGTCTTACAACTGATCCTCAGACTTATGACTGTCACAGCATCCCCATAGTCACGTGATCAAAATTTGAGGAGCTTGGCACGGTCCTAGGGTCAAGAGATCTTTGCAACCTTTCTAGCCAGCTTCCAACAAAATCAATGGGGTTCGCTTAATAATCTGCTTAACAATCAAGGCAAAAAAGGTTGTAAAATTGGGCATGACCCACTTAACAACTGCTTTGTTTAGCAATGGAAATTTTGGTCCTAAATGTGGTCATAGGTTGAGGAGTATCTGTACTGTAAACTTTCTAGGCATGAAATATGGGGAAAAATTTCACTGTAATTCCTCCTTGCTGTCTAGCAAGAGAGATGAGGGAAAAGGGCTGAGAAAAGCACTGGACAATGACAACATTACTTCTCCACAGATCACCTCCTTGATGTATATGGAAACTGGGACTCACCACAAAAGGAATTCCGATGAATAATCAAATCTAAACATGTTATCGTCATCTTCAACATAATTTTCATTTAGCAGCATGTACAACTCTTTTAACTGGGAAAAAAGGGGTAGAGAGAAGCCATCAATTGATTGAATCCAACAGCTCACTTTGCTCTGAATTTGAGCACCTGAATTATCCTAAGCGAAACAGTCCACTTAGCCAAACCAAACGCATCAATTGTCACCAGAGACATAACGCACAAAATCTATTCCTTTCCACCCTCTTGGTTTCAACATACCTGAGTTTTAGTTATTTATTTCTTCCACAGCTCATTCTTGGCTATGCTGCTTAGAGGGAATTACTAACTTGAAGTCACCCAATGAGCTTTCGTGACTGAGAGTAGAATCCAGGCCTTCCGGTCCTAGCCCAAGGCCTTCACCACTATGCCATCCTGGCTCTCAATCTTAACATTGGTTGGTAAGGTCCAATAAGATCCTGTGGTTAAAGCTGTTCCTTGGCTATTTGGAGAGTGGGCAAAGTCAGTTATATCAGTTGTCAATCAATGAAAATCCAGAGGATTAAATGGTCTCACTTCTGTTCTGTATTTCAGCTGTTTTGCTCTCACTTATATTCTGTTCTGTAACTCAGCATTTTTCCCGGGAGGGAGGGAGGAAGAGGAGTGTTTTTTGCTATTTTCTTCCCCAGAAAAACAAGTGGCACCTTAACAAAGTGGTCTAAAATAAGATGGAGAACTATCTGTTCAGGAGGGGACTTCTGTTTCTCCCCAGTTCATGTCCATTGACAATTGCACTACACTGGCAGAATGCATAACACAACACACACACAAATACACAAACATGAAACCAGTTTTGTATTTGAAAGACTCCAAGGAACTCTACTTACAACTTCAGCACTGCTCAGATCCAACGTGTCCCAAGTAAAACCCTGCGGTAAAGAATATGGCTCTAGGCGAATGTTATCTTTATCTGGTTCAATAGCACCATGAGATGTTATAACTTCACCTTAGAGAAAAAGAAGGTAAGTTTGATAGATTTTAAATCATCTTTTCTGCTTTCGGGGAAGTTGAGAGAAGATTTACTAAACAAAAATTAGAAGTCTATGGCCAAATTCATTTTATGTCAGCTAGATTGTCAATAATGTCATTGTGTTTTTCCTAAAGATTCGATTGTATTATAATTATTAATTTTGTCAAGGGAAAAGCAATCTCTACAGAATTTCAATACATGTTATGGAAGTGCTTCCTACCTGCTGCCTCTTTTCTTTGATTGCAATAAACAATTTCTCAAAATGAGTCATTTTAGATTGAATTCAAACTCAAACACAGATCTAACTTTAACATATTGGTGTCTGCAAATTTAAAAAAAATCTTTCATACCCCATGCACAACTATCTACCAGAGGGATTTATAATGAAATATATGACAAGCTTTCAAAAAAGCAACTTTAATTGACGATATATTTGCAATATGCAGTTAGAAACTAATTTTAATGACATATAATTAATCAATGCCCATATTCTCAGAGCAGCTATTAGGGTTTAAAGATCCATTTCTTTTTTTCCATTGCTATTTCAAAACTGATCTTTCTTTCTCAGAGATCAGAAGAACAATACCAACCATAGAAATGAAACTTTACAAAACTTGTTAAACATAACATTTTTTAAAAAGATTAAAAAAAACATTGTAACACAAATATAAGCCTTTTTCTTCTTCATACTCAAATGACTGAAGACATTTGAGGAAACATTTCCAAACTAACTACTGCATGATCCTATTATCTTTCTTATATATAACTGAAACAATTCAGTACAAAGATGTCAGTTCCTAACCCATAATGGGTATGTTCCTGGGTATTTCTGCTTTTACAAAGAGAAGCAATTGCAATGCAATATAGTCTCCTGGACTATAAATGCCACATGAAAAGCAATTATTTATGTTAGAAAACAGTTCTGCAGTAAGGCTTTTGGAACTAATGAAGAAGTGATGGGCTAATAAAGCAGAACCTGCAAACAGAAATAATACAGATGTCTTAACCAGAGGACAAATATAATAACTTTAATAATAAAATTAAAGATGTTTCATATTTTTGAAAAATAAAATTTTAAATGCTTATTGTCATTTGAAAACAATTTGATTCTTCTGTGTTTTTACCAGGAATTTTTTTCTAAAGAATTTTAATTGAAGTTTAAGATATAAATTGACAATGCTGGTCACCAGCAATAAACTTACTAAGCTTGGGTACAGGCTGTGTGTCCCAAAACTGGTATTTACGTTTGGTCGCTTCATCAATATTCTTGGCTGGGCCCTGACAGGCTGAGAGCAGCTCCATAGCTCTTTGAATGTCTTGCAGCTTCTGCATTGGAATGGCTGGATTCTGCAGGCATACAATCACAGGTTTCCTTTAATACTGCCACACCCTGCTGGTTTACCAAGCTTTTGCACATTTTTTATATATTACACCTTGTCATCAAAACTATCCTTTTAAAAATCCCACATAAAATAATCTCTGAATGAAAATTAGATCTGTATTTAAAGCAAACAAATATTGATTCCAAGATACATCAATAAAGTTTGCATAAGGTATGCAGTGATCATATGGGCCCCTTGGCACTGCAAATAAGAGGACCCCTTACCTAATCTTTTCAATATCCTGATTGTTCCACTTTTTTCTCTTTGATGCCCCAATCAGACAAGAATCTGAGATCTTATTTCACACAATGAAATTGAATTCTGGGAAAATCAGGGCCCATAAAAGGATTATTTTTACCCCCTCTTCTAATTCAACTTTAGAAGTCATTACTGTGAGAAATAGTGTTGGCTACCAGCTTGGTTGTCGATGAGGAACCTCAGTTGAAAGATTAGAGGCCTTTTTTGTGGAGTAGGTTGAACAACCTGCTGGACTAGATGCACTTGGGGTCTGATCTAGCAGGCCACAATCTATGTTGTCATCTTTCTATTAAGTAATTTTAGAGCACTTCAGGCAATTACTCTGAGATTTCTTATCACCATCTTTTATGTCATCTTTATTTATGTGAGAGTCCTTGAGCAAGGCCTAAATGGATCTCCCTTCTTCCTTCAGTCATTCTCCTTATCCTCCTCCTATTGTTGGCTTTTAATTTGGGAAGGAAGTAGTAAGGCGCAAGACTTTTTCAGTCAAAGACCTGGAGAAGCAGAAAAGGCAATCTCATAAAAAAAATTAGACACCTTTTTTTTCTTTTGTGTACACCAATCTTTTTTCATTTTTTGTTGTTGTTAATGCTGGACATATGGGGTTTTTTTGCTTGTTTTCTGTTTTGTATTTTATCTTTTATGATAAAACAAACTAAATATATTTAAAATCAAAAATAAAGCAATTTCATTTCGTGCCCATTTCTTATGTAAGTTGCATCTACCTTTGCTTTGTTATCAATGCAAAGCAAAACGCACAGCAGGCTCGATGTTACAGCAAGATACTGTAACGTATGAAAACTGATGGGCAGAGGGATAAAAGTGTATTTAGAGAAGACCATGTTTCAAATTACTAGTTGGTTTTGCATTGTTGCTATTAAAGTGCTTAGATTAAAGTCTGTGAGCAAATTAGTTGTGCCAAATGGCAAAAGAGAAGAGGAATGTATAACTGTGTAATTTAAAAGTTGTTTTCTGGGTTAGAGGAAGAAACAAGTTCATCTTGTTCCTATTTTTGTAAAGTGATGACAATGATACTAAAGCCATTTTTTGGAACTAGAAACTGGAAGATTGTTGAGTTCTAGTCCCACCTTCAGCACAAAGCCAGCTGGATCTCTCAGCCTTAAGAAGAAGTAAATGGCAGCCCACTTCTAAAAAAAACTTTTCCATGAAAACTGTAGGGACTTACTTGTCCACACAGTCTCTGAGAATCAAACATAATTGAATAGGATAAATAAAAAACAATTATACGGCTATTATTTTAATAACACCACAGTGATTTGTTATTACCTTCTTCAAAGATGTATTTTTAAATTTCCTATTTATAGACCCAACATTCCCTTGTAATCTTCATCCAAGCACTAACCAAGCTTGACCCTACTTAGTTTCTAAGTCTAAAGATCAGTTACATTCTGCTACCAATAACAGTAATGGTGAAGATTTCATAATTTCTCCACATCATACATATTGAGAATATTATAAGATGTACCAGTCTAGGTATTCTGTGATGGAGAAACCACCGCAGATTTCTACCCGAAATTTTCAAAATTAAATGCAGAATATTCAAGACACAAATGTTGACATGTCTGAATCTAACAGAATTTGTATCCAAGTATTAGCATCAATGCTGCAGAGAAAGAAAACCTGACAAAACATTATGAATAAGATGCCTGTCTGTTAATGTTATTTTTAATTTTATTCTTCTTCTTGTTGTTGTTGTTTGGTTAATCTTCAACTCGATTCACAATCTAGGACTTGTAAACATTTAACAGTTCAAGTCCTAATCAAAGACCTAAGAGCTGTTAAGGTACAGTCTGAATAGGGTGGTATTTTTTATTTTATTATTATTATTGTTGTTGTTATTATAATACAGGGAAGCTTCAATGACTGTTGAAATGATGGTATGACATTTACATATAGCCACTGGCTGCCTTATACTGTAAGTAAATATATATAAGAACATATACAATCAACCATAGAATTATCTTTAAAGTCTCTTCTTTGAAAAAACACTAAAAGCAAGGATTGTTTATGCCAAATATTGGAAAGAAAAAGGAGCACCGACAGTTGAAGAATGGATTTTGAAACTCACAAGAGTTGGCAGAGATGGTGAAACTAACTGCATTGCTTAGAGATAATGCTTTGAACACGTTTATAAGAGATTGGAAACCATTAGTGGAGTTTTTGTGAGTTAAATACTTTTTTCCCCCCACAACTCTGTAATCTCTTTTATCGGGATGGAATCAGGGCAACTGAATGGAGATGAGTGTTTACTGGCCAGATGCCCTTCCTGAACCTACAGAAATTTGTAGCAGATATTTTCTTTTTGCGCCCTGATAGAGAGACATTTGTTGTTATCTAGGATTGAATTCTCAACCTTCCAAGTGGGAGATGAGTGTCTTCACCTCTAAGCTACTGCGCTGTAATGGGATGTTAATGGAGGGCTTTGAAGATTAGCTTATTTTGGGGAAGGGGTACCAATTAACAGGGTTTTATTTTATAGCTAATAGGTATTGGGTTGACCAGACTGATGGTTATTAGATTTCTGTATTTCAGAAACTGTGATGTAAAATAGTAATATAGCAAATACAGCTGAGAGGCTTTATAATTATTTGTAACCCACTATGTGGGAGGAGGGAGGGGAAATCTACCAGATTTATTTGAGACATATATTTTAAACAATCAACCAGGGTGAACGATGTATGCTTAATGTTGACCCTATATGTGCTGTGCACACTTTTTATTATTCCTTTTTTTGTCTTGTCTGTAATTTTTGCCTTTCTTTTTATTGTCTTTGTAGTTGTTTATTTTATATGTAACATCTTATCTTTAAAATAATACAAAAATTTAAAGAAAAAAATTCTAAAACAATTACTTTTTTTATCAAATTTAATAAGAATCTGTAAGAGAAAAAAGTTACAAAACTGCAACATTTATGTGAATTGAGTCTGTTCTGATTTGTTAAAAATACTGGATTGAGCCAATGCAAATAATTGATGCAATCTGAATTTCCAGGGTGATTTGATTTCAATCATTAATTTGTATGTATTAATTGGGTCAGTTCACAAATCCAATTTCATTTAAAAACATTTCTGTAGTCACTAATAACTGGAGCAAAATAGGGATATGAAAACAAAGTCCAATTTCTCACTTTTGAAGGTTGCTGAATTTTAATCTCCTGGGAGTCAGAAGCAGAGTCTGATTTGGTACCTCCAGAATTTGTTTTCTCCTTTTTTCGTTTCTGCTTCTTTTTCTTCTTTTTAGCTCCCAATTCTCCCCCTGGACTTCTGCAAAAAAGAACAAGACAACAATTCGTTGTAAACTTTGAAAAAAGGAAGTAACGTGTAGCCCCATTTTTGCAGTGCTGGTATTCTGCAAGACTGGGGAGCCAAAATCTGATGTTATATTATTGATTGGGACTGTATACTTTGTGTGTATATGGGGATGAAGTGTGTGTTCCCCTCCTTGACCCCCCCCCCGATCATGTCATTTTTGCAACAGATAGAAGTTTAAAGAAAAGTGCAAAGCAGACTGAAGGAAAGCAGCCATCTATGAATTAAAAGCTAACGGCAGAAATACACTACTCTGTATAATCACCTGTTCACATAATGTTTGCTTTTTATTGTTTTTAACTGTACACTGTCAAAATTGTTTTGAAAGTGGGTAGCTTAGAAATCAAATAAAAAGATTAATTAATTAATTCAGGCCAACAGGTGCTCCCAAGCCTATTTTCCTGAGAATAGAAATGTATCAAAATGTCCAAAGAAGAAAGGGGTATTCGTGTTAAACTATAAACATTCTGATATTCCTTCCTCAGAATCACCAAAAAATGTGTCTTTTGCTCATTTGGCATTGCATTTCATCACAGAGATTTGGCTGAGAGAGCATATGTAAATAAAAATTTAATGGGATATCACGTTAAAAGTCAATATAGGTAGGAGAGGAAATACTACTCTTTTCTAATTCATTCTCTCATATTAGTATCCAATTCCTGTGCAAACATTAAAAAAAACCATGCATCTCAGAAACCTTGCACTCTCTTTGTATCATGCACCTTCATTTTAAATTTGAGAAGAAAAGTACCCAGTCTGACATAAAAATAGTAGAAAAAATGGCAAGGTCCAACTCTTCAGGAGATATAGGTAGTCCTTGTCTTACAACCATTTGTTTAGTGACCATTCAAATTTACAACAGTACTGAATAACGTGACTTAGACCGTTTTTCACACTTATGATCATGGCAGCATCCCCACAGTCCCATGATTAAAATTTGGACAGTTGGCAACTGGCTCATATTTATGACAGTTACAGTGTCCCGGGTTCATGTGATCACCTTTTGTGACCTTCTGACATGCAAAGTCAATGGGGAAGCCAGATTCACTGAACAACTGGGTTACTAACTTATCAACTGCAGTGATTCAATTAACTCTGGCAAGGAAGGTCATAAAATGGAGCAAAACTCATTTAACAACTATGTTGATTAGCAACAGAAATTTTAGGCTCTATTGTGGTTGTAACTCAAAGATTACCTTCCATATTTAGGGTATGGAAAAGGTCCAGATAACTAATTTCTTCAAGGACTCTTTGAAGCTGCAAATCTTATCAATAATCTTACATAAAAAGGAAAGATGTGAGACTGGATGGAAATTGTCCAGCCCTATGGATCCAATGATAGTTTCCCAAGTTTCTTTCAGAGCTGATGAAATCATCCCATCTCTATCACATAATGGAATCCATTTCAAGATCAAATCATGTAGTAAGACTTGGCTCTAAGTTTTAAGTGGCCAAAATGGAGGGAAGTGTGTAGCGGGGTGCCCCAGGGCTCTGTTCTGGGCCCAGTGCTCTTCAACATCTTCATCAACGATTTGGACAAGGGGATAGATGGGGAAATCATCAAATTTGCAGACGTGTGGTTCGACCGTCCTTATCGGTTGTGAGGTCTTCTGTCCGAATCCTATGTCCTCCTAGACCTGTCTGAACTTGTGACCCGCGATAGATTGTTTTACTTTAAGTTACCACTTTTTTCATTCCAAGATGTAAAAGGCAAGAAAAACCAAATGTACAGGTATAGTATAGGGGGTACCTTGCTCAATAGTAATAACTGTGAAAGGAACCTCAGAGTCCTAGTGGACAATCACTTAAATATGAGCCAGCAGTGTGCTGCAGCTGCCAAAAAGGCAAACACAATGCTGGGCTGCATTAACAGAGGGATAGAATCAAGATCACGTGAAGTATTAATACCACTTTACAATGCCTTGTAAGGCCACACTTGGAATACTGCATCCAGTTTTGGTCACCACGATGTAAAAAAGATGTTGAGACTCTGGAAAAGAGTACAGAGAAGAGCAACAAAGATGATTAGGGGACTGGAGGCCAAAGCATATAAGGAAAGGCTGCTGGAATTGGGTATGTCTAGTTTAACAAAGAGAAGGATGAGGGGGGACATGATAGCAGTGTTCCAATATCTCAGGGGCTGCCACAAAGAAGAGGGAGTCAAGCTATTTTCCAAGGCGCCTGAAGGCAGGACAAGAAGCAACAGGTGGAGAGTAATCAAAGAGAGAAGCAACCTAGAACTAAGGAGAAACTTCCTGACAGTTAGAACAATTAACCAGTGGAACAACCTGCCTCCAGAAGCGGTGAATGCTCCAACACTGGAAGTTTTTAAGAAGAGATTGGACAGCCATTTGTCTGAAATGGTATAGGGCAGTGGTTCTCAACCTGTGGGTCGGGACCCCATTTGGGGTCGATCGACCATTTCATGGGGGTCGCCAAGGAAGGCTGTCTGCCATTTTTTTTGTCCGCCATTTTTTTCCCCTTTTCCGGCGGGTGCCTTGCTGGGCCAGCTGGTGGTTGGCCTGCTCCGTCTCTGCCGCTTGCCAGCTACGCCTCGGCCGGCGCAGGGGGCGGAACCACACATGCGCGGCGCTCCCGGGCAGGGAAAGTCCTCGACTTACGACCGGTTGGGTAGTCCTCGACTTGCGACCGGTTTAGTCCTCAACTTACAACCGGTTTAGTCCTCGACTTACGACCGGTTTAGTCCTCGACTTACGACCGGTTGGGGTTGCGGCATTAAAAAGGTTGAGAACCACTGGTATAGGGTTTCCTGCCTGAGCAGGGGGTTGGACTAGATGACCTCCAAGGTCCCTTCCAACTTTATTATTACTATTATTATTATTACTATTATTATTATTACTATTATTATTATTATTATTATTAAACAGCTCAAGGATTTCATCCCCTTCCCTAGGATTGTGCATGCCTCTACCTGAAGACCTCAGCCAAACCCCTCCAAATCTCCCTCAGATTAAGAATGTTACAATCAGTCCCTGCCCACATGGAGCCATACATCCACAATTTTTCTTCAGCTGACATGCAACTCAATGTAATACACTATAGCCACCAAAATATCACTCCAGACATTGCTGAAAATGTACTTTCTAGACACATGCGTGTGATGGCGGACCTACCGGCTCCGGCTCCGTAGCGGCGGTGGTCCGTCGGCGGAGATGGGGGTGTCAAAGAAGGTCCGGGGGTGCTCGCCGGCCAGGAATGAGTGAGAGGAGAGGGTCGGCGAGCGAAGAGGACGGGTGCCGGACCGCAGGACCGCCAGGTTTGGCTGGGCGGGGCGGCGAACGGAGCTGCGATGCC